GGCCCCCCCCCCCCACCCTGGGTTGCACCCACATTCCCAGAGAAGTAGCGACAGGGGATGAGGATCCGCCCTCATAGGCTCCAAGGGACGGATGGGGGAGAATAAGCCAGATGTGCTGCCTCAGGGAAAGGGAGGAGGTGCTGGCAGAGTGAGGGTTAAGGCTGGTGCCCAGCCTCTGGCACGGTGGGCCTTCCGCCTCCACCTGCCTTGGGGACAAAGGGGCACGGTGGGCAGGCAGCACATGGGCCTGGCTCTGGCAGGGCAGGGAGTGGCAGGAGCAGGCTCCCTCTGGGCTCAAGACACAGGCCCAGCGTGGCTGCCCACCCACCTGCCCTAGATGTGCTCAGACCCCACCGCAGCTGGACGGCTTGAGCTGTGAGTGTGTGTGTCGGGGGGGAGGCAGGGAGAAGAGGAAAGTGGGCTGCTGGGCCCCTGTGGCCCCATGCCCATCCTGAGGTCCAGCCCAGGGCCCTGCATTCCAGGGCCCTGGATCCCCTGGTCCCATTCCTGGCCCCAGGTGCTGACTACAGCCGGGGGCAGTAGAGGCCAGGGAGGCCCTCGGCTCCTGGGGAAGGAGGATGGCGCAGGGGAGGGGAGGAAGGAGAGTAAGGAGGGAAACCCGCCGCAGCACACACGGGGGAGCAGGCGGAGGGAGACAGGCAGAGGAGAGCCCTCATCCCAAAGGTGTGTGGTGGGGTATCTTTTAAAGTCACCCAGAGGCAGCAGCAGAGCAAGCCTGCACCCTCACCCCAGCCAAAGGTCCTGGGCGTCCTCTCTTGGGGGCCCTGACAGAACCGGGGCACAGGGCGGCAGGCAGACAGGCCAGAGGGAGATGGGGAGCCCAGGACACCCCAAAGCCCCAGATTCAAATGCCCCGGGAGAGGGAAGTACCTCCTGCCCCCTCCAGGGGCATCATCTGGAGAAGGTGCCACCTCCGGTCCCACCCCACGAGCCCCTCCTAGCAACAGCCGCCACCAGCCTGCTTCACGGGGGTGCTGTCAATCTTGAGGTTGGGCCGCTCACCCCCTGACGCTGCCCCAGGCCCCATCCGCTTTTTGATCTCAGCAGCCATGGTCATGAACGCCTGCTCGACATTGGTAGCGTTCTTGGCACTCGTCTCCAGGAAGGGGATGCCCAGAGAATCTGCAAACTCCTGATAAGGGGAGAGGAGAAAAGAGAAGGGGAGAGGAGGTGAGGGGCAGCAGGCCCCAGCCCACCCGGGTGGCCTGGCCCAGGCCTGCTCACCTTGGCTGTGGTGTTATCCACCACCTTCTTGGTGGTGAGGTCGCTCTTGTTGCCCACCAGGAGCTTATTGACATTCTCACTGGCATAGCGGTCGATCTCCTGTAGCCACTGCTTCACGTTGGCATAGGATTCCTAGAGGGACCAGATCAAAAGTTACTTTGCTCCCACCTCCCGCCCCTACGCCAGGCCTGGAGAACAAGGGTTTTCAGGGGAAGATGGCTGTCCCGGGCTCCTGAGAAAGGCAGGCGCCTTGGGCTCAGGGACCCAGAGGAAGCTCCTCCAGGCTTAGCGCTCCTTCCTGCCCTCCTCTGTCTGAGACCCCAAGAGCCAGGCCCAGCAGAGCCCCGGCTGTCTACCAACAGCCCCGACACCTCAACAGCTTAGACCAAGGGCCAGCCAGCTCTGCTTCCTGCAGCTGCTCGTGTTTACCCGAGACACAGAAAAGGCCTAACCACGTGGAGGGAGCAAATGGCATCAGGGGAGAGGCCAGAGGAAAGACAGAAACAAAGGATAACAGGTTAGCCAGAATTACAAAGTCCCCACAGTGGCCTTAAAATCCCTTTAAGGTTTGAAACCTTGGAGCCCAGTGGTAGGTAGAGGATCCTCACAGAGGAGACCCTGGCCTACGGGGGAGACAGGTATCCTGGGAACAGGGCCTGACATTCGTCCTACTTCTGGCACTGACAGCCTCCGTGCTCGGCCTGGCTCTCCCGGCAGCCTGCTGCGCCCCACCCCCCGACGCCTGGCATGCCGACAAAGGACAGAACTTTTAGGAATATGCTTGAGCTAGAGCCACTTTCCCTTCTTAGGAGCCAGAGGTCTGGTGATATCACACTGGGCTCAAACGTACACCTCCTGCCATGTCCCAGGCGGGGCCCTGTGCTGGGCACTGGGTTCAAATAATGGAATCATGCCTGGGCCCTGCCCTAAAGCACTCAGGGGACAATGGAGGACTAGACTAGGGCACACACAATGGCAAGACAGGGCGACCAAGCGCTGCAGGGATAGAAGGCAGGAGCAGGTGGAGCTCCAGGATCATCTCTGCCTGGGGAGATGACAGCCGACCTACACCTGCAGGGACAAACTACCCCATGTGGGTGCCAGTGGAGGGACGGGGAAAGGTGCAAGGGGAGAAGCAGACATATGCTGGGTCACGGGATGGGATGGGATGGGCGTGCTGTCTTTGGGGAGGGGGAAAAGCTAAAAGCGGCTGGGACACAGTCTCTGAGCAGGGAAGGAAAGGAAGAGGAAGCAGGCCCAAGCAGGGAGGGTCTTAGCCTGGCCAAATCTGAGACAACCAGGGCCAGTAGAGGTTTTCTTAGGAAGGAAGCAGCAAGAGCACACCTGTGTTCTGGGAAGATAGTCCTGGCAGGAGTGCAGAGGCCAGATCAGACCGGCAAGGAGACGGAGAACAACTGGGAGATGGTTGGCATAATCCAGGGAAGAGAAGATGTGCCCTGAGCCAGGGAATGAGGCAGGCAAGAGCACAGGATTTAGAGTCAGACCACCCTGGGTTAAGCCCCACCTCTGCCACTTATTGTATGATCCTAGATATGTCACTTGGCTTCTCTGAACCTCAGTTTCCTCACTTCTATAAAACAGTACCTCCTGGTGGGGCTGTTGTGAGCATGGGATAATGAATGCAGGCTGGTCTCATAACAAGTGCTTAATTAGCAAGAGCTGCCATTATCCTCATCACTGCTATTATTACAAGGGAACGGATCTGGGAGAGATGATGGGGGAGAACAGAGGGGCCCAGGGACTGACAGGATGGGGGAGGGAAGAGTTTTCTGGTCAGGCCAACAGGGACTCTGTTAGAAAGATGAGGATGCAGAAGCCAGTTCAAGAAGAGATGGGGAGACCAGCACCAGACAAGCTGAGTTCTGCAGATGGTCTGGAGCTCTGCAGATGGCCTGAAGGCGGTCTAGAGGCAGGAAAGGATGTGCTGGGAAGCAAAGAACCCTGGGTTCAAAACACAGGCTTTGCCTTTCCTGACTGTGAAGCCACACGCAGGTAACTCAACATACGTCTAAGTGTGTTTCCTCATCTGGAAAAGAGGGATGCCACCATTGAGTTCCCTGGGTTATACTGTGAACATGAGAATTAACACAGACATAAAGTGCCAGCAGAATGCAGGACTCAGGAGGAGATCCACAGTGATAGCTCTTTAGTTGTAGAAATCACAAAACAAGAAGCCAAACCACAAGGTGGCCAGAATTGTGCAGGGAGAGTCAGGAGGCGGCTTGGGGCAATCAAGAAGCACAGAATCTGGGGCTGTAGTGGGGCAGGATACGACGGACCAGTAAGAAGTCACTGAAAAGAGAATCTGCTGCAGCAGGAGGTGGCAAAGCTTGAGACAGTAACTTTTTCAAAGACAGGGAATAGAACAGAGTTAAAAGCCATGAGAGATCAATCATGGCAAAAAGTGAAATGAAGTCACAAGTTTTGGCAGTTAGAGGTCCTTGGTGACCTCTGAGTGGAGCAAAGTTCACCCACAGCTTGTTGTCCAGGAGGCATCATGAGTCCCTGGTGAGCTGAAGAGCCCAGCTGCCCCTCAGAGCAGGGACTCCTCCTGGCCTGGGGCTGATACAAGTATCTCCATGTCCCCAGGGCCTGACCCACATGAAGCAACAAAGTTTAAAAAAAAACAAAGCAAAAAAACAACAACAACAACAACAAAGCGGGTAGAATCAGCAGGCCTGGGCTTTCTGTCTCTGCCACTTAACTAGCTGCAGGGCCTAAGAAAGTCCTACCACCCCGACCCATTTCTTCAACTGTAAAATGGGAATATAACACACAGCTCTTTGGAGTGTTACAAGCATCAAAGGGCTGTGACAGAACCTGTGAACTCTAACGCGTGACAGGACTGTTTCCCGCTGTTAACATCACCACTGATGCCAATGACACAAGACTAACGCCGCCACAGCAGACACAGGGCTCCCAGAACTCTGCTCACACTGGGCCCAGAGTGCAGGACTCCCTCACTTCCTTGTGTAAGGCCCTCCAATCGCTTCTCCACGGTGTCTTTACCCAGGAGGCCACGGGCCCAGCACAGCAACCAATCAGCTGACTAACCCCCCCACAAAAGACAGGTGCCTGGAAGGTCTAGAATAAGGTGGCAAGTCTGACAGGGAGGTGAGGCCTGGTTCTGCCAAGGCCCTGCAGCGGGGCCTGGGGAGGATCCGGGCCTGCAGCTATTTCCCTCCTTGTGAAATGAGTCCGAGAACAGTCTCCTTTCCGGGCAGCATAAGAAAGAGAGGATGGGAACAGTAAAAAGCAGCAAAAGCCAAAGACCTGAGGCTTGAGGAGGCAAAGTGGGGGATGGTGAGCCCAGGAGTACCTGGTCGGTGACGTCGTACACCACGATGATGCCGTGAGCCCCCCGGTAGTAGCTGGAAGTGATGGTCCGGAACCGTTCCTGACCAGCTGTGTCCCACTACAAGATAGCAGGAGAGAGGGGCAGGTCAGCCCTGGGCTCCATGCCCAGGGCCCCTCCCCTCCCAAGGGAGATGTCTCTGCACCAGGGATTCTGGGAGGAGCAACACTCACGATCTGAAGTTTGATGGTTTTGCCATCCAGCTCAATGGTTCGGATCTTGAAGTCCACCCCGATGGTGCTGATGTAGCTCTCTGTGTATGTGTCATCCTGAAAGATCAGGGACCAGTGAAATGGCCTCTGAGTGAACAGGTCTGAGGCCCATCTGGAAAACCTCCCTCCACTGTCCTGCCCCAGCTGAGCTCCTAACTGCTGAGCCCCAGTTCTCAGCACCCCAACTTGCCAGCCCTGTGCCCCTGTTCAGTCAGATATGTTGCTGGCAAGTCCTGCAACTTCATCCTTGGTCTCCCAGGTCTTGCAACCACTATTCTCTGGGTTGCCCCCCTCTCCCTCCGGCCACCAGCCAGGACCCCAGATGGATGGTAGGGGAAGCTTCTTACTTACAGCAAACCGCAGGAGCAGGCAGGACTTGCCCACGCCCGAGTCACCAATCAAAAGCAGCTTAAATAGGTAGTCACTGGAGAGAAAGGATGGGAAGGTGTGAAGGAAGGCAGGGAGCCCACCCGCCATTATCCTGGAGTCAAAACTATAGCATTCTCCCACACTGTGAGATGTGCCTTGGATTAGAGTATTAAAGCACTCACAAGATCCTCCCACAAGTCCTGGGATGGGGAGGGTTGACCACTCCCCATTAACACAGCTGGCCCAAAGGGGTGCATCTGAATTCCCACTTTACAAAAAAGGAAACGGAGACACAGAGAGGGATGTGACTTGCCAAGGATCACATCAGTTAGGTGACAGAGCTGGGTATCCTACCCTGATTCCTGATAGACTCCATGGTTTCGGGTCCAGTAGGGGCTCTTTAGGGAAACCCTCCTACACTGCCCTGTGCCGTACCTGACTTGGCAGGGGAGGCCCCAGAAGTGGAAGCCAGGGCCCAGCCTAAAACTCAACTGAATACCTATGTAAAGAGCCTGGTATGAAGCTTCCAGAAAGAGATGGTCAACAAGCGGCAATGATAATAGCAGTTAAAACGTATCCACTTCCTACTTGTGCCTGGCCTGGTGCTAAGTACTTCAAATGCCTCATCTCATTTAAGCCTCACAACAGTCCAATGAAGTGAGTGCCGGTTATTCCCAACTAATGAAGAAACCAGAGGCCAGAGAAGGGAAGCGACTTGCCCTAAGTTACACAGCTGTTAACTTTAATACTGGAAACCAGGTTCAGACTCCAAAGTCTCTGTGAAAGCATGTTGGTTCCCTTCTCTGTTACCCCTTATAAGCCAGCTCAGAGCTTCACCCTTCCCCGAGGAAATCTGAGGCCAGGATCTGGAGGAGAAAAAGGAAGTGGCAAAAGAGGAAGAAGATAACTGACACTAAGGGAAAACTGTCGATGAGAAGTCGGGGTAGAGATGTGGGCCACCTACCCGTAGGGGGAGTGACCAAGAAGTGAGGAAAGTTTGAGGAACAAAGAATCCCACTGGAAGGGAGAAAGCAAATGCCACATTCATCTGAACTTCGGCAGGGTGACGGCGAAGGGAAGGGGTGTGACGGCGACGCCGGGGGCTTGCGCAAAGGTGAGGGGAAGGCGGGAGGGGACCAGCCTCTGGGAGCGGCAGAGCATTTTGATCCAGGTAAAGGGCAAAGCGGCAGCCCCGGAGGGGTGAACCTGCGGAAAAGCTACCCAGCGGATTCTGGGAGGACTGGAGAGCAGAATATACGACCCGACCTAAAGGGCCCGAATCTGGACCGAGACCAGAAACTCTGGGGATGGGCTCCACAATGCCAGGACCGTCGTCAGCACCCAGACCGCTACTCTCAGGCAGCAGGTGGGGAAACTGAGGCCTGGAAAGACCGGGGCTGCGGGGTCACCTGACCGACAAGGCCTGCTAGTGCCGGTGCCTCGGGATCCAAGTGGTGCCCCTCGGTGTCGCAGTCTCCGGGGCCGGGTGCAAGAACTCGGGGCGTCGAGCCGGGGTTCTGGGGACCCCGGGGGAGGGGCAGAACCCGGATGTGAGGGGGGGGGGAGGTCAGCGGAAGAGGGACCCGGATGTGGGGGCGCCGCGCAGTCCTGACCCGGGCCGGACAACCCCGGTAAGCGTACAGCCCCGTACTCGGGATCGAGGCTGCGCCGGACGGCGCGGGCGGGGCGCACTCACTATTCGGGGTTCATGGCGGCAGCGGCGGCCCGCTCGGTCGCTCCCAGTCGGCTCTGCTCCGCCTCCCGTTTCAAGATGGTGGCCGCTCCGCCCCAGAGGCCCTGCCCGCGACGCGCAGGCGCAAACACTCGGGACTGGGACCTCGCCGCGTGGCTCCTCGGAACTTGTAGTCTCCTTACATTGTGCAACTCACACCCCACCCCCGCCCCCGCGCTGCGCAGGCGTAATCCTAGCCCACGCCCCACCATCGCCGCGCGTTGCCTTCTGGAGCTTGTAGTTCCCTCCCTAGAAGTACCTGGGCTTGAGGACCGCGCTCGGGAGCCTGACAGCGTCCCGGCGTTAGATCCTCAATTTAGTGCTGGCGTTGACACGTTTCACGTCTGTCTGACAGAGGCATTCATCCTTACACTCCCCGCAGCGTTAGTAAAAGTTCATTTATCCAGGGTTCTTCGTGTGCTGGCGCTCCTAACTCCCAGCAGAAACCCCAGGAAGGTGTCACCCACATTTTAGAGATGAAGAAATCGAGACTCGGTAACTCGCTCAAGGTCAAACAGCTTGGTAAAGGGGCAAAGCTCGATCAAAGCCCGTGGTCTCCAGAATCTCAGAGATGAAGGTTGTTAGAAAAAAATCCTGAATCTGTGGGGCTCCCGAACAATTCCGGGATAGGAGAAGCCTATCTGGGTTGCAGCTGCGCGGGACCAGACGTGAGCGAGACACACACACACACACACACACACACACACACACACACAACACACACTCGCAGCCTCTCCTGTACCCACCCCCAATGTAGAGACGTAGAGACGCCAGGAGCCCTCGGGCTCCGCCCCAAAGCAAGCCCAGCTCAGAGACAAACTGTCTTTATTTCTACAGCAACATTTGAAAATAGAGAGCGACCGCCTCACCTCCCAGCTGGGGCAGCCCCTCCTGCCACAGGGGTCCATCACTGCCTCTAGCAAGAAGCTGCAGGCGTGGGAGGAGGCATGGCAGGATGGCTCTACGGGCGGTGCCCGGGGCGGGGTCAGGCCGAGCCTGGGCAGGCCGGGCGGGAGGAGCAGTGCATAAGACCGGGCTGCAGGGCAGAGCCCGGCGGTGAGAGGACTGGACACGGGGTGGGCTCTCCGTCCTGGTGCATGGGGCAGGGCGCACCATTCAGAGCCCGGGAGGAAAGCGAGAATGCCTAGGGAACCCTTTGGGGAGGCACCGCCCCTGAGATGTGGAGCCTGGGAGATACCACCGCGCGGAATGGGGGTGATTAAGGCCTGGGCGGTACCACTAGAGAAGGGTGGGGTGAGGGGAGGCCGGATAGTACCAAGGACTGAGGGGAGGAGTGCGGCCAATAACTTATTTCTCTATATACAGAAGCAACGGCCGGGGGAGGGCAGGGTGCTGAAGGGACGGCAGGTGCTTAGTGTTCTTGGATTTGGGGTCTGCGGAGGGGGGGCCACTGAGCCTCTCTCTACCTTTGGAGACCCCGGCCAGCCCCTCCGCTGGCCCTGAACCTAGGGAAGAGGGGGCCCTGCTGGAAGGAATAAATAAGGGGTAGAACTGGAGTGGGCAGGCCCAGCCTCCAGGGCTCAGGCTGAGATGACAAGGGAGGAGGTTACCCTGAGATTGAACAGAAAAGACAGGGGTCCTTGGGAGAGACAGGAGGGGCAAGCAGCAGGCCCATGCGCAGGGCTGGGGTGGGGGATGGTGCCGGGTGGAGGCTCTGGCGACCGGCTGCCCCTTCAGGATTAGCCCACAAGGGAGCTTCGTCGGGAGAGGTCCATGGAGCTGGAGCTGAGGGTGCGGCTATCAGAGAGGCCTGTGCCTCCAGGCTGTGGGCAGAGGGGCAGGTGGCTCAGCCTTGTGCTGCCGCCATTGCGTGCTTCCCTGGCCCGAAGGGGCCTGACTAGTCAATCCCTGGGGTCCTGACACTCCCACCCACCTCCACAGTTACTGTGCTGCCACAGGCAGGAGCTGAGTTTCCCTCATTTGTCTCCCCAGGGTCCAGCCCAAAGCCAGGCCTGGGATGGAGACAGGAAGTGTGGCTGGATGAACAGACATGCTTGAGAAGCTCAGCAAGTACACAGAACATGCAGGCCTGGGGCCGGGGCCTCAGCTGCCCAGTGCCGACAACTATCCACCTGTATGTACCTGGACTGGCTCTTCCACACCTTTGTTGAGGAAGTTGAGGGAACTGGCCCGCTTCATCCTGAGGGGAAAGGGCGGTCAGGATTTGCCCATGGTGGAACTGGGGGAGGGTGGGGGAAGGGGTCAGCTTGGGGTAGGGGAGGGAGGCTGATGGGAAGGGAGATTGGTGGGGGGTGGAGCTTGAGCAAGACAGGGAGTTCACCCTGGGTCTGAAGTTCAGCTGGGGTTGGTAGCTTGTGGGGAGGGTTCTCGAGAGGCTCACCAGGGTGGACGGCTCACCTGGGGTTTGGGGGCTCCTGGGGGCCACCACCCTGCAGCTTCTTCACCAGCATCTCACTGCTGCGCCTCAGGGCATCTCGGAGCTTCCCGAAGGAGCCACTGCGCCGCAAGGAGCCGCTGCCGTCCTGTGGGGTGGACGGGTTCGTCTCTGTGCCATGCCGGCTACACAGCCTCCTGGCCCAGTCCAGCCCCTAGACTCACCCCGCTCCACTCGGCTGCAGGCCCTGCCTCCTCGAGGTCAGCCTCAGACCGAGCCCCGGCACCCGCGGGCATGTCTCGGCTGCCACGGCGGTCTCCACGCCCACCGCTGCCGTCTTTCAGCAGCTCCACCACCTTGGTCTGACTTGCAGGGTCCAGGCCCTGAGGGGGGGGCGGGCGCATCAGGTGGAGCTACGGGCCCTGACTGGATCACACACAGGGCCACGCAGGTCCCTGCCCACACCCCTGGTGCCTGTCGCCCTACCTGCTTGCGGCTGCGGCTGGCGCAGTCCTCCAGCGTGTGTGCGGCTTCTAGCTTGCCCTGGCGCCGGTACAGGGCCCCCAAGCTGCGCAACGTGGTGTTGACCGTGGGGCTGCGGATGGGAGAGCGGGACGGTCTCCAACTCCGTGTTCCCCATGAGCCAGGGCCCATCCTGACACCCAGCCCACGCTGGCCCTGAGGAGCCGTCCAGCCGACCAAAATCGAGCCTTTCCTGCGTGTCAGGCCCTGTGCTAGGTCCGCCTGGATTCCCCTGTTTTGGGGAATCACCTGAGGGCCCTAGGTGGGATGTTGCCACCAGGACTAAAGGCTGGGAAACCCAGGAGTGAGATAATCAGGCTGTCCTGGGACAGAAAAGCTTCTTGGGACAGGTGGCCTGTGACCTGGGCCTTGAAAGATGAGCTGACAGAGAAGAGGTGTGTGTTCTGGGGCTGAGCAGTATGGAGTGTGGAGCCTGGCCCCGGCCCCCACCCAGGATGCCGCTTCCCAGCTCTCTGCTAGCCCAGCAGTCCCACCCCACTGTCCTCACCTGTCTACTTTACAGGCCTTGTACCAGCTGCCATATTCCCCATAAGGGGTGCTGTCCCGGCGCTTATCCTGGGGGAGAGAGAAGCGGAAGGTAGGAGAAGGCCCTCCCCTCTACACACCCCCAGCCTCATGCTCCCTCCACAGACATCTGCCCCGGCCCTGCCCCACAGAGCTACCTTGCTCTCCTCCCGTTCCTCTGCGTGCATCCAGATGGGCTTGTTGTTCCCTGTAGGGAGAGAGGGGGCTGCCACCAGCCTCTCATGTGGGCCTCTCCTGGTTGGGCTGGACACATGACTGGGGCCTGGGGGAAGGTCGGGGTACTCAAGAAGGACCAGGGTTGGGCTTCACTGAATGAATGAATCGACAAGAAACAGACCCAAAACATGACTGACGCTCCTCTGGAACAGAGATGCCTGTGGCACAGGCCTGTGCTTGAGGGGCCTGTGACTGGGGGGTGGCGGGGAGGACACCCTTACAAACCTCAGGCCCACGGTGTGAGACGATGCGAGGCCTGAATGATGGGCCGGGCCGAGGGGTCCCTGACAGGAAGTGACTGACCGTGAAGGACCAGAAGGTGGCTTCCCAGAGTGGGAAACATCTGGGCTGGGCCCTCACGGTGAGCGTGAGTTGCCCAGTGGAGAAAGGGGAAGAGGCTCTGGGCCGAGGGCACGGGTATGCAAAGGGAGGGCACTGCATGGGTACAGCCTCCCAGGGGGCTGTGTGAGTTGGGTGTGTGCGCTCACGTGTGCACACAAGTGGCTGCGGACCAGCCAGACCCTAGGCATGAGGCCTGCCCCGCTGAGGTATTCGTCCTAGATGCTGACGGCTGAGCGGGCCTGCGAGCTGGGGCACACAGCAGCCATGCTCACCGCTGACAGAGCCGAACTCCTTCTCATGAGCGCGGGTGAGGATCTCCTTGTACAGGGTCTCTGCATCCTGGTACTTGCCCTGTTTCAGGTAGCAGGAGGCCTGGAGGGGCAGGGCCCAGAGGGTGAGCAGGATGCAAGGAGTCAAGCCTTTTCCTCTCCTCCCTCCCCCCCCTTTCCTCCAGCCCCCTCTAGCGCAGGACACCAGGTTGTTCTTGGTCTTGGCAACGTTGGGGTCGTCAGGCCCAAGGCGTGTGGCGTAGATCTCCAGTGCCCGCCGGTAGTAGTATTCCACCTCCTCGGCTTTGCCCTGGTTCTGGCACAGCAGGGCCAGGTTGCTCAGCTGCTTGGCCACGTCTGGATGAAACTTGCCCAGAACCTGGGACAGGAGCGGGAGCCGATGGCTGGGCTCGGGGCCAGCCTACGTCCCCCGTCTGCCCAGCCCACCTGGCCTGCCCAGCCCTGCCTGCTCCCACCTTCTCCCGGATCTCCAGTGCCCGCTTGCAGAGGGGCTCAGCCTCCTTGTACTTGCCCCGCTTGCCATACAGGACCGCCAGGTTGTTCAGTGTCGCAGCCACCTAGGGGGTGGGAGAATGGAGGCTCCATGACCTGGGACCTGGGAGCTGCAGGGGGGAGGGGAAGCCCCACCTCCCACCCAGCCTCACTCACAGCTGGGTGGTCCTTGCCCAGCGTCTTCTCGCGGATGGCCAGGGCATCATTGAGCAGGTGTGCAGCCTCCTTGTACTTGTTTTGGTCCCTGGGGGCAGGTGGGAGCATGATGAG